TTTGGTTCGTAGAAATATCAAAATCACTGATATTTATTGGAAGTTTAATTTTTTGTTTTATTACTAGAATAATTAGCAACTAAAGCGTAAAGTAAAGGAATTTAATATTTAAATGTCTACACAGCACTAACACTGTAAACACCACAATCTGAGTTTCGATTATCACTCACGTGTAAGTACCAATAATGATGGTATCACCTTTCAGTCATTGAACTTCTGATGTGGAAATAAAAGATGAATGTATTAAATACGATTAATTTATTAATCAAAAAAAAAAAAAAAAACTAAATAGTAACAATTAAAAATTAAAATCATAAAAACTAAACTGAAATATACACAAAAGTAATATAATAACTAAACTAGTGTCTAAATCTACACCCTAATACTTAAAATTATATTTTTACATTTGTTTTCTTCTTCCTGTGTCTGGAGGATAGAGGTGATATCTTTGCGCTTTTTTCGGATTTTCTTCAATTTTGATTTAATTTCTGTAAACTCCCTCTCCAATTCATCCTCTTGTTTGGAGAGGTCGTTTATCAGATTCTCAGCCAAAGTTCGCGTCTTTTTTAGAACCTCACCTCTTTCCTCCAGGCGACGTTTCAAACCCCTAACCTCTTCATCCACTGAAGAGGCTTTTGTTTCTTCGAGATCTGTTCCCTCAATCTTTTTTCAGATTGAAGGAACAGGTTGACGTTTTCTTCATCTTCTTCTTCCGAAGATGAAGACGAAATGTCTTCATAAATTCGATCATGTTGTTGCATTAGGACGAGGTCCTTGACTCCTCGCCCTTTTGCCGGTTTCACCCGCACATCGGAGAGCACCTTGATTTTCGGTTCCCTTGATGGCCTTGAAAGATTGTGGAGCTCCACAAGGATTGAATCATTAGCCAAAATATTGTTCAGAAATATTTCTTCAAACTCCTGGTTCGGTCCAGGAGTTCGAAGATCAATGATTTCCTGCAAAAAGAAATATATACTAATATTTATCTATGTTAAAAGCAAGAAAAAAAAAATTATGTGTTATGAACAAATATATAATTTAATAGTTAAATAGTTAAATTTTATAAAATTAATTGATTTATGTTGAAAGCAAGAAAGAAAAATTATATATTATAGAGAAAAATTAATTAATTTTTAAAAACTTACATTTTTCGTTGTTGTAGTGGAAGCTTCTGCGGGTATCATTGCAACTTGCAGATCCATAATTTTCTGCAAAAGAAAACAACAAAAAGTATGAAAATATTGATCTATGTTAAAAGCAAGAAAAAAATTATGTATTATAGACAAATATATTGTTTAATAGTTAAATTTTATCAAATTAGTTAGAAAAAAATTATGTATTATAGACAAATATATTGTTTAATAGTTAAATTTTATCAAATTAGTTGATTTATGTTAAAAGCAAGAAAGAACAATTATTATAAAGAAAAATTTATTGATTTTTAAAAACTTACATTTTCTGATGTAGCTCCTGCAGGCATTATCGCAACTCGCAGATCCATAATTTCCTTCAAAAGAAAACAAAAAGTATGAAAATATTGATCTATGTTAAAAGCAAAAGAACAGAGAATTTATGTATTTTACAAAATTAATTAATTTTTAAAAACTTACTTTTGGTTTAATTTTTTTTAATGCGAGCAAGTTTTTTCTTGGATGTTTCATTTTTCACAATTATCACTACACACACGACAGTTGAATATTTTCAGACTGTAATGACAATTTAGGTGGTGGTCAAGACTTTTGTAAGGCCTTAAAAGAAAAAAATCTTCCAGTATGGGGGTAAATTGGAGATTACAGTTAAGATATCGGGCAATCTCCAAGGACCTAATAAATGGTTTCCAAGAAAACCGATCCAATAATTTACTCGAAAATTTTGCCGTGTATGATTGATAAACACAGCGTGCGGGGTTGCATTTGCCCAGACGTGCATGTTTCTCATATTTAATATACCTTTCCTATGAAAATACGATTCATCCGTAAACAAAATGTGAGAGGAAAACGAATGATCTTGTTGATGATTTTCCAAAATCCATTGGCAAAACATTCTTCTTCTCTCGATATCTTTGGGAAGAAGTTCTTGTACTTTAACCCGATGAAATGGATATAGATATAAACTTTGATCACGCAGAATTCTCCAAACAGTAGTCTGAGAAACATTTTCTGTCCGGCTTATTTCTCGTATATTAATTGTTGGATCCTCTTCCACCTGATTCAGAACCCGTTCCTCTAATTGCGGTGTTCTAGCCGCTCTAGGCCTTTTACCATTTCTGTTTCTTGAACGAAAAGACCCAGTTCCACGTAATCTTTGATCTATTCTAAGAATAAATCCTCTAGAAGGTGGCCTTCTATTAGGAAAACGTGCGATGTAACGCCTTCTGGTGGTGGCCGCATTGCCATTACATTTTCCAAACATTAAATGGATGTCGGCCATTTCGGCATTAAATCTTCGCTCCATTGTTATAAACAAAGTTTACCACAAAATAAACTGAAACCAGCGAAGATGACAATTGCGGTAGATTAAACAACATTTTTTTATTGTCATAGATACGCAAAGCTCACTTTGTTTGTTTTTTTTATTAAAGGGCAATAACAATCTGGATCAAGTTTTTTTAACTAGACTTAACAGACTTTATAGGAAGAATATTTATTGGAAGTTTAATTTTTTGTTTTATTACTCTCATGATGATGAACAACTAGCAACTAAAGCGTAATGTAAAGGTTTTTAATTTTTATATGTTTACAAAGTATCTGTTTGTAAACGCATTCTTTTGAATGCAACGATCTGAGTTTCGATTACCTCCCGTAGTAAGCCACAGTATCACCTTTCAGTCACTGAACTTTCAATGTGAAAATAAAAGGCAGATATACTAATAAACAATATTTATTAAAGGTAAAAAACTAAAAATTAAAAATAAAGATATAAAAATATAAACTAAAAATATGTACAATAAAATAACCTAACTATAACTAAACTAACATATTATATAAACCTAGCTATTATTTACATAACTTATTTACAACTAAACTACAGTGATGTTCCTCATCAATTTGGGATTGGAGGAGAGCGCTTATTGCCCTCCTCCTCCTCCTCGTCTGCTTCAGTTCTTTTTTCAGATTGTTTTCTTTTTGCAGTAACTCCTTCGTCATCGTTTCAGCCAATTTTCTCTTTTGTACCAAAATTTCCTGACGTTCCTCCAACCGCCTCTTTAGCCCCTGCACTTCTTCCTCAACTGAACAATTGTTCGGGGCTTTTGTAGTTTCAATCATCTCCCTCAATTCTTCATCATCCTCTTCATCCCCCGACCCCTCATCCTCATTCTCAGTCTCAGTTTCAAACTCTGCTTGAATGAGGGTGAGGTCTTTTCTTGCTTGTGCTCTTGGGAGATGAATTTTGACGTTTGAGAGCACCTGAATTGTTTGGGGCTCAGGTTGGGGTGGCACTTGATTATCCTCACGGGTTGGCGGTGAAGGTGGAGAGATGGCTTCAAACTGAACAAGGATGGAGTCGTTCGTTAAAATATTATTCTAAATTTTTCTTCAAATTCCTGAGTTGGAACACGCATCGGCGTCCTCAGGTCAATTATTTCCTGCAAAAAAAAATAGTAAAAATAATAATAGTTACAAATGATATTTTTTCTGAAATGTAGAAAAGATTTTATGCTCATTTTTATTTTATTTTTTTATTACAAAGTTATTACTTTTTGCTGTTTTAATAAAAACTATTTTTATACTTAATTAGTTAGATTCTTGTTTATTTAATTATCAAAGAAATTGGAAAAAAAAAACATATGTAAAATATTCGTCAAAGCCATTTTGAGAGATTTTAGATGAACACACGTTTTAATTATTATAAAATTAATTAATTTTTAAAAACTTACATTTGTTGGTGGTTCCACTGCACCAATTTTCTTGAGTGAATCTTGAAAGAATATTCTTCTTCTGAACCTTCATTTTTTTACACAGTAATACACAAAACTACGAGTAGATCTCACTGAATTTCTTCAGATTATAATGATAACTTCGAGTGCCGGTAAAGCTTTTATAAGGCCCTAAAGAAAACAAATCCGCCATTTTGAGGGTAACTCAGAGTGTGGAAATGTGTGGGAAAATTACGCCGAATTTGCAGATTTTTTGTTGATGGCAGCAAAAAATGTAATCCGCTACCAAAAAATGCTGATTTTGCAAAAATCTTGCTGATCTTGCAAAAAATGTAATCCGATACCAGAAATGCTAATTTTGTTGAATTTGCATAAAGTGTAACCTGACACCCGTGTGAACAAACGTATATTTAATTTTTTTACCCTTTGATAGTTGTGTATAGTGTTACAGAAGACAAAAGCTGATATTTTTATTTCGTTTATTATCACAACAGGGTAAATCCCCTACCACAAATATGGGGAATCCCCCGATTTCATTGCTATTTTAGTTCATGATGTCATGGCTATTTTAAGATCATGATGTCACTATTATTTTTAGATCATGATGAAATACTTATCTACTATAAATAAGAGGGTGAAAGCGTGAGTTTTAACAGTCTTTGTGTAATCATCGTACAGTGAAAATATAAGTTTTAGTTAGTTGGTACAATTATCGTGATATCGTAATAATAAAAGTGAAAGATAGACGCAAGAAAAAGCAAGTATGTCTTCCACAGTAAGCTCTCTAGCTAAATGTTCTGTAAAATTAATTCGTGAATATATTAGTAAAATAAAGAGTTTAGATGAAATTAATAAGTTTTTAAAATACACTAATAAAAGTGTTAAAATAGTTAAAACAGCTTTAGAAAATAAAATTCATGAAACTAACATACTCGAGAATCCACATTCTTTGGAAGTCAGTCTTACTCATTTGAAAAACTATCGTTTACAATTGAAAAAACTTAGAAAAGATTTAAATGAGAGTAAAGTTGGTTAAAATTAAAGATATTAAAATATAAACTAAAAATATGTACATAAAATAACCTAACTATAACTACTAATTAACATATAATATAAGCCCACATCTATGATTTACAAATAATAATAAACAAAATTGATATGCATTTATTTGCTTCCTCAATTTGGCATTGGAGGAGAGAGCTTATTGCTCTCCTCCTGACTTGTTTAAAGTGTTTTTTAATTTCTTCCTGTTGAGAAAGTTGGTCTAATATGGATTCTGCCAGTATTCTTTTATTTGACAAAATTTCCTGGCGTTCTTCCAACCGCCTCTTCAGCCTCCGCACCACCTCCACTGAAGAATTGTTTGCAGTTTTCGTAGTTATATCGTTTATATCGTATCTGCAAAGTGTTAAAATAGGAAAATACTGTTTGTAACGATTTTCGAAATTATATGGTAAAGGCCTAAAATTGGGATTTTCTAAGGCGAGTTTATAAAGCTGATCTAGCGTGGGCACATTTAGTTTAAATTTACTAATTATGTTCTTTTGTAAATTGATTAAGATTTCTGTTACTTTATTACCCCAAATACATTAACCATATTGTAAGTAAGATTGTACTAAAGCAGAGTAAACTGATTTTCTAAAACTGTCTGTAGCGGATATATTAAGTGCTTTAAATGATTTTTTTTATTTTTGTACAAACTGTATTAATATGTAATTTCCAGTGAAATCCCTTGTCTATTATAACCCCAAGATATTTCTAATGGTTTACTGCTTTTAACGGGATACATTTACAATTTTCTCTTTTATAACAGTCGTATTCGTGTAAGAGAATTTTTCCATCAGTGTTAATATTAGTAGAAAAGTCAAAATATCTTGTTTTAATATTTATAGAAAAGTAAATATATTCTGTTTTAGAAATATTTAGACAAAATTTCTTTTCGATTAGCCAGTTTCTAATTAAAAATAGATCCGAGTTTGTTTTTTCGTATAGTTTGTCTGAATCCGCTTCTACAATTGAAGCTGTATCGTCTGCAAATAAAACTAATTCACCGTTTAATTTTAATTTTGTTAAGCTATTTATATAAATGTTAAATAATAAAGGGCCTAGGCATGTTCCTTGTGGGACACCGCAATTAATTTTTAAAATATCCGATTTTTTATTTTTAAGTTTAGTACAAGTTCGATTTTCTAGGTAATTCTTAAATAAATTGCCTCTAATTCCTATTTCTTCTAATTTATCTAAGAGAATAGAATGATCTACTGTATCGAAAGTTTTTTCAGATCTAAAAATACAACTAGTTTGTTTCTTCTACAAGTGTCTAATCTGGATATTAATTTATTGATTGCTTGCGTAGTATTTTTCCTTTCTCTAACGCCAAACTAGTTGTTGGAAAGAATATTGTATTTTGCAATAAAATTATAAACTCTGTTGTAAATGCATGTTTCGAGTAGTTTTCTCCAAGTTGGAAATAACAAAAATTGCTCGATAATTATTTGGATCTAGTTTGCCTCCAGAACCTTTATAAATCGGTGTTATTACAGAATGTTTAAATTCTTGCGGTATATCCTCATTTTCTAGAAATAAATTAAACATATATGCTAAAGGTTTGGAAATGGTATCTTTGTAAATTTTTGATAAATTGGCCGAGATAGAATCAGGATCTGTAGCAACATTTGTTTTCAATAAAATTATTTTGTTTTTAATTCCTTGTTCTGTAATTGGCTCATAAAAAATGGTATTTGAAATAGTTTGTTCTGATTTTCGTTTAATATATGGAATTTTGTTTGCCAGTTCTTTACCTACATTAACAAAGTGCATATTAATTAAGTTTAAGTCACCTTCGAAATTTGTTTTTCTTTTAGAAATTTTTAAATAATTATAGAGCAGTTCCCATTGTAATTTAGAATTATTACTATTCTCCAATCTTTGTTGTCTAAAATAATTTTGTCTTAAAATATTTATATATTGTCGAATTTTGGATTTGTAAAATTTGCCTAATGGATTACGTTTTTTTAATAATTTATTATTATGGATGGATCTGTCTGTTGATAGATGGCATCCAAAGACAAAGTCGATGTCTGGCACAGCCAGCTCAGAGCGTCCCTGAGAGGGACTACTTCTCCGCAGGCCGAAGCCAATGTCGATAATAAATAATCCATCCTCCATTTGATTTTGGAGTAAAGTATAAACGATGTCGTTTGTTGAGCCGCTTGATTCTGGATTCTGGATGTCGATTTTGGAGCGGTGGACATTCGAACAGTATTGATTGTAGAACGATGTTTAAACGATGTCGATTGGTTAGATTGATCGATTTGGGAAATATGTCCAGCTGTTCGCCAAAGTTGAATTTGTCCGTCGATGTCTGATTCCTATAGATTCGTTAATTTCGGTAGAGTCGTCGAATTTGGTAAAGATGTCCGATTTAATAACCCGTTTGTTGGGAATGCTCGAGATTTTGTGTGTGTTGTTTTTGGCCATTATTAAGAGGAAATTTGCACATTTTGAAAAAAAAGGGTGTTTTTTAAGGTAACCAAAGGGAGTTGAAAGTAAAGTAATGTCCAAATCTTACCTATATGAAGAATTTAAATTTGTTATAACAAACGATGAGCATATTGAATTGCTACGAAAAGTTACTGTTATTTTACTTACAAAATTACCTCCAGAAGTAGCGCAAAAACATCTACATAACTTCTTAAAATTCGTCTAATTAATTACAATTAATAATCGTGTTCGATCAGTTGGACAATTGTTTACCCTTGTTTAACTAGTTTGAAATATTTGCTTTTTTGTTTACCCTGGAAAATCGGGGTGTTTTGCTTGAAAAGTTAAGATTTATTGAGTTACCTTGAAAATTGTGGTTGTTTTCACGATTTTTTCTGTTTACCCTTGGAAATCTGGCTGTTTTGCTCAAAATATTTACTTTTTGAGTTACCTTGAAAATTATACTGTTTTACAACTTTTATTGCTGCACCTATAGCACTCTTCGTACTATCAAATTTTCCACTATATAAAGTGTTTTTCGCTTTGCTTATTATTAAATCACTAAATTTAATTAGTCCTCGTCCTGACTTCTTCACTTTACCAATTCGTGATCTTCGTCGTCTGCGTTTTTGTATTTCATTCATTTTATTGTTATTAGAACATCTCATCACAAGTTTCAATTTGGCACTCATTGCTGTTGAAACACCTAAAAAGCAGATTTCTCACTAAAAGAAGCGTCAGCAGCACGTCTTCTTTTTTCACTCGCTCGAGTAGAATGCGGTCAGCTTTATGACTGTTTTCTAAATCTTGATGCTCGTTATAAGCAATATCGTGTTCTCTGCATGCTTCATCTAATTTGTTAATACCACGATCTCCTCGCTCAAGTCGTCTTTGAAGTTTGATTCCTGGACCACAGAATTGATATCCAGGAATGTGATAATACATAAATGGTAATTTATTAATAATAGAATTTACAATTCCTGAACCAACAGCCACACTTTGTGATACCGTTTCTTTCTTTTCAAAGCTCTATTACGATTGATAAGTTTTGAATTTTTTTTCGAACATTTATACTTTTTTTTTTGCCTTCCACGAATGCGTAATATTTTTAATAACCTACAACAATGTTGTGAGATTGTAGAAAATTTAACTACTACTAACTCAACGGTTTAAAGTAGGAGTATTATTTATATGTACTTATACCACCTTCTTCTTTTATTCTCTTCTGTTGTTTTCTCTCCATTTTGTTAATTTTCAATTCAAGAAATGGTTTAAAAATCATTTCTACATCACGAATTCGTTTCTGAAAACCACATTCTATCGCATATCCAATAACCTTTCCGATCTTCATCAGCATCATTCAGAACATGAAGAGTAACATGTTCATTAAATTCTTACACATTTGCAATTTTTTATTTTAGGTTTTGATTAACCAAGTTGAGCCAGTTTGGGATAGGTCAGGTTAGGTCGGTGTAATGAAGGAATAGTATATTAAAGTATAGTTGGTACCAACAATATTTGAGACTCATTTTAGAATAAGACGATTACCCCCCACGGTGGTTCATGGGGCTTGCGGTAGAAATGTCATAAACAAATTTGTATTTCTTAGGACAGGTACGTTTCAAAGGTTTGTAGGAAGAGATGGTCCGTAACAGAAATTTGTTTTTAGGCTTTCGTCAAAATAAAATTAAAGTAATATTAATATTCAGCTATATTTTGAGATTGTTTCTTTACAAATCTGCATTATCACTTTAATATTAAATTGATATATAAATTCCCAAATGTTTGCCTGTAATAAATTAAAAGCCTACCACGAAAATTCCTGAATACGGCCCTTTCGTAAATCTTCAGGGTAGTACCATCAGCATGAAAAATTATTACGGCCGACCGCAAGGCTGCTTAATCCTCAATAAAGCTTTGCATACGTCAATCTCAAATATTCCTGGTGACGACTATACAAGTTGCAGAAAAGGTATCTATCTATTCAAGCACAAATTTGAAATTCCGAAACGAGCCGCGAAGCGGCGAATTGAGGAACAAATGAGTGCTTGAAGAACCTTCTGTACAGTGGCGTGCGGTGAGTTTTTACAGGGGGCAGCAGCAGTAACTTAAAAATCTTCCAAACTTCGTTAAAATCGTTTGAGCGATTTCAAAACAAACAAAAAATAAAATAAAGCATGTGAATAAAAAAAGATAAGAATCCTAAATATAAAAAAAACATTCAATAAATGTTCAGTTTCAACAAAAAATACATGTTGTAATTAAAACAAATTGCATTCTATGAATAAAGGTTCAGAAAAAATTATAGGTATCACAATCTCTAAAATTAAAGGAGTATAAAAATTAACAAAAAAAATCTGTATAAAGGTCTAGCCGCAACATACGGAAAATGCTTCTAAGTTTATTTAAAAACCAAATCAATTCGTCTGTTTTTTTTGCTAAAATTGTCAATTACATCATCATAAAATTTAGATTTACTGCGGAGTAAGGTCAAGTGCTTTTGTTCTATTGATAGCAAAGCTAAAGAGGATAATCTGTCTTGGCCAGTTGAATTCCTAGCGTATGTTTTTATTCTTTTAAGAGCTGAAACAGAACAACAACAGAAGTGGTACTGTAAGAAATTACAATTATTAAAGAACATAACTTGTATACCTCGGGCATTGCGTCTTGTAGATCGTTATTTTTCAAAACTAATACTAGCAAAAAATTTTTTGCATTCTTTAATGTGATTTACTGACTAAGCAAGAACTAAGTTTAGAACATGGGCGCAACAATGGATAAACAATGCCTTAGGGTACACCTCTCTAACTTTAGCTTGAGTACCATTGAGTTCACCAGCCATAACTGCAGCACCATCGTAAGCCTGCGCCACAAATTTATTTTCGCATTTTAAGTCTCGAATTTTTGTGATCACATAGTTCGCTATGGCATTTGCCGTACAGTCGCTACTTACATCTATAAAACCAAGAAATCTTTCCTGAATGTCACCAGCTTTTGTCACATATCGGACAACAGTGGATAACTGAGAATGGTTAGATACATCAGAAGTTTCGTCCAGCAAGATAGAGAGAAATAAACTTGCATCTATTTCTTCTTTAATTAAAGCAGAAAGAATTGTCGCTACAGATTCGATTATGTCATTCTGAATATGATTTGATATGCCAGAGAAAACAGAAGTTCTTGTAAATGAACAGCTAATTTCTCGTCATATTTGGAGACCAAATTTAAGAGTTCGATGTAATTCCCACGATTGGAACTTACTTTTCTTTCGTGATGGCCTCTGAAGGCGAGTTCTTGAGTTGCTAAATAGCTTACAACGTCAATAAGTCGCTTCATGATTTCCCTTTTACTTGCAACTTTTTTATTGTGTTCGATGGTATCTAATCGACGTTGCTCGTCTAAAGCAGTGTCAATTCTCACACCCCCACTAAACATTTTGAAAGCGGCAGTTGCAAAAATATGCCCTTGGCTTTTCTCATGTTTGCTAGCTGCATTAAAAAAGTTATTTAAATTGTCGTAACCATCAGTACGCCAGACAGTTTTATCAGTACCGAAAAGCAAACATGGCCAACAAAACATTTTATTTAATTTCGCACAAGCGCAAAGCCAGATATTTTTCTATTAATAGGATTTTTGAAAATGCCTTATTGTAATTTTTTGCTTAATTTTTATTGTGCAAGTTAATTTCGTTGATAAATCAGGTGTTGGTCTCTGCAGATTTTTAATTGTGGTTTTTTCCACTATAGTGAAACGATTGAAGGGGGTCTTCAGTAAAAGCTCTATAATACACCCCTCTTCGTCACAAGTCAAATTTTCGTAACTCATCAATTCATTAGTCATTTCTGATAAGCTACCTAACCTTATCAAACAAAAAAATGCAAACTGTACTTACCGAGGTTCCCGAAGTATGTCAGCAAATAGAAAAAAAACCGTGGGTCACTTACCAAACACAAAAATGATTTTTTTACTTACAGATTTACTTTTATCTAGATAGGGCAAATAACCTAACCTAAAAGTCTCCTGCGAAAACGAAAACCACAGTAAAATTGGAAACTGGACTGATTCCCGAAAAGTCCCGAAACTATACGAAATATTTCGATCTTATTACGAATTTAGCGCTGAAGCAGAGAATTTGCTGCTTATATCTTCGCTTTCTCTTCAACACATGGCTAGCAAGGTTTTTGTAATCACTGTTTTGAATTATTTGAATATGGTTTTTATTGCGACGTTGGATTTTGAATCTAATGTCTCTCCTATTTCCTTCTCCTGTTGTGGTTGCATTGTTGTTTTTAAATTAATTAAACTGGGATCTTCTTCAACGGCATCTAAAATTTCAGGCTCCACTTCCAAGACGTTGGCAGTTCGCGGTTGTTCTCGATCGTGTGATGCGGGTAAAAATCTGCCGTGGTCGCGTACACTAAGACCATATCACTCAATTCGGCGTTTGAGTAATTGTGGTCATAATGGCTTGAAATTGATGTGCTATTCAACCGAAAGCGCGATTACAACTGGCTAAACTCACAGGTATAGACACCTGATAATTTTTTTTTCACCTAGGATACGAGCTTTATAATGAAGATCTTTATACCCGGGACCCTAATAAAAAGCGGGCGTAATCATTATGTCCGCTCTTTACGGCCCGCAAATTTCATCGATTAATTTTTAATAATCAGATAAAAACTGGAATCATTTAGGGACATTTATTCAACAGAAATACAATTTTATGTTATTTTTAATATTTAAACTTGAAAACACAATTAGCAAAGGAGTCACTAAATACAAGACAACTTAAAATTGAATTATTGAAGATTTTACCAAAAATCGATTTAAAAGTGAAAAATAAAATGTATGTACCAGGGGCATAACTTGATGTTTATGTACCTCGGGCAACTTACAAAATCTCGACCTTGCAATCTTGTTGCCCTCGAACATAAACATCCTCGTTATGCCCTTAATACATAAGTAACTATTTCCACAATTTTAATTGTGTTAGAGTTAGAGGATGGAAAAAAAAATATAAATGATAATTGCACTTACCCATTTTTCTTTGTACTCACGGGAGCATGTATCGCATCTATTTCGTTCAATAAGATATTTTTTTTAGCGCCAATCAAAATATTTTTGACGGACATTCAACGATGTCGTCTTCAGCTTTTCGTTTAATGCTATTATATAAAATAATTTTAGCGACGTTATATGGTGTCTGCTTTGCCTAAAATATATTTTAATTCAAATGAAAGCTTAATAAATTTAAAATTTTACCTTCAGTATGCCAATTTGCTTTGCATGTTCTGCTCGAACATGTCCAACGACAAACACCATTGTTTTCTGCTTTCACAGTAAACTTAAGATGCTCCCCTCCTCAACCCTACTGTAAGGGATGGACGACTTTCCAAAAGTGTTTACAAAATTATGACAGGATTTACACAGATATAGAAATTAGCCGATAGCCATACAACTTTGTTGACCTTGAAACGTTTATGTAGACCCTCGGCTGTCAGAGTCTCGTTAGTAGCACCGAAGAAAGTAATAAATGTTCCAACGGAACCACAACCTTTTGATTTTCAATTCCAATAACATCTGCCGAAATAGTTGGGTAGAGTGGGTATTTTATTTCATTTTTAAACGTGCGACAAACATATCAGAATAATATAAGGTTTATAGAGAACATTCACGTAAAACTTGGCATTTTTTTATTTAAAAATTTTTTTTTTCTGGTTATAACTAGTTTCGTTCAATAACTCCTTTAATTTCTTTGCCATGCTTTGAATTTCAAAGGGCCAACGTTGAGTCATTGAGGCTGTATTCCAAGATTCTATTATTCATAATTTCTAGATGAAGAGTAAGTTTAGAGACTGTAACAAATTTCCCCGTACTTGTTTCCGTGGTTATATTATCGAACATTTTTATCATTTTTTTTTTCACAATTGTCCATTTCTCGGTAGTTGAATTTTCTACATTACATTTAAAAATTGCTATTGTAGCAACAACTGCGTCCTTAATTTGCAAAGTTCTGTTGAGCAAGCAACTGCAACTGCGTGCAAAGAATTTTGTTTTTAGCCGCGAGCACTTGGTTTAAAAAAGCTAAGTAACTATTATACAAAGGGAACCATTCATGGGGTGGTGTATAACTAAAGCATGGTATGTGCGGCCAATTACATAATTTATTGTCGATTACACCGCAAATAATTTGGTCGCTAAAGCGAAATTTTTTAACGCAGTTTTTTAAACGTTCGAATATATTTTCCGATGTAGGTATTTCGTACAGGAAAAGCTAACACTAGTAGCACTGATATCATGTCTAAATTAGAATTAAAATAATTGACCGTGATAGGGTTAAACTATCATTATTCACTAGTGTTCAAGAATCTGTTGTTAAACATACTGCTTGAGTTTCCTTTAAATCCACATTAACTTTTTCTAACGTTACTTCTTTTTGTTGTTCGGTGCACGGTTCTAAAACCCTTTTAGTTTTCTTTGACGTACTTGGTCCAGGCTAAAAGTAAAAATTTTATTTTATCATAAAACGTACTCTGTTCACTGCTTGTTTTGAAACTTCTGAAACATCTTCATCTATGTTTATTTCTTCGTTTTTATCACTTTCTTCAAAAACGTGTGGCTCGTTGTCATTGTTATCTTCGTCTGAATTTTCTTCTTCCTCAGCATTCAAGTCAATATGTATTTCATCAAGAGATTTGCCTTTGTATTTTGTAACTTCTCCTTTTTCAGAAAGCAAAAGTAATTTTGAAACTTTGGCAGTCTGATAGACGTCATTTGGCAATCTATAATATGTTTTGTGTATGGCTGATGTATGCCCCATAAAGGTTGCCAGTTGTTCTAAATCTTGTTCTGAAAGATTTATTACTTGGTACATGGTTGCAAGATGCTTGCGCAATTTAGTTAACGTTAGAGCAGCCGCATTTTTAGCACCTGCTAATCGCACATGTTTATAAACAGCTTTAGTTCCGCTGATAGGAGTTGTAGCGTTTAAATTTCCGAATAAATACAAGTTATTTTGTTGATAAAAATTTTGGCGAAGTTGCACAAGTACATCATCATTTCCTCGGTAAATAGTACTGGAACCCCGCGCCCCCGTTTTCCTCTTATTACAACCCTTTTGAAAGCTTTCATAAGAACTTTTTCACTTTCACTTAGACATCCAACTCACTACAAGCTTCATTATCCTTATTCGTAACATATGCGTTTAAAGTCATTCTTTGTAATTCACCAGCTCTTCTTCTGTTAAGTAAGTGTAGTTGTACGTATGTTATTTCTTGCAAAGTTTTAAAAGACTTTATATCATTTGGATTAATTTGTAGTGGATTTCTGCACCTTTCGCTTACTGCTTGTAGATATTTTTTTAATAGTGTCAAATCTTTTGCTAATGGAACGAGGGAAGGTTTGTTCCATTTTTTTCGCTGCAGATCGCTAACTGCTAAAGTTGAGACCTCATAACGCCATTCATTAATTATAAGTTCTTTTAAATTTTTTAATTCCTGAGTGGTCGGTGTTTCCCCTTGATTCTGTTTTAAAGTTAAATTGTGTGCGACATCAATGCAATCTTTTAATTCAGTGCCCATGTGGGCTGCAAGTGACGGTGCACCGTAAGATTCCGTTGCAGGATCGAATCTAGCAATAGTTTTTGTGCATTTTACCAGTAAATCAAAATTTAATGGATTAAGTGCATGCAATAAACTTTTAACAATTATAGTTTTTCTTATTTCAATTAGTAATAAATCCAGCTGTCTCATTTTTCTTGAGGCAACCAATTTAAACTGTTTCTCACGATGATTTTTTAAATACCTTGTTCCTACAGCACAAATCAAGGGATCTGTTTTGGCTATACAGGGTTATTCATAAATATGAAGCAATATTTGAACCTCAAAAATGACCTATAAAATGATGTTAATTTAAATAATAACTCGTGTCCGATCTCCACTGATAAGAATTTTACAGCCCTCGGAATGTGGGTATGGAAATTTGATTTTTTTGTAATAACTTTGGAACTATTTGACCAAATATTATAAAATTTGGATCTACTCAATTTCCGGTTACAGCAGTTGCAGGTCACATTTTCTGTGTTTTTTCATTTTTTTGCTCTCTTAACACTAATTTTTTATTGCCCAAATAGATAGAGTAAATCTATTTCGAATAAAAAACGCATAACCTTTAATACCCCTAAAATGGACCGTTTCAAAGATATTTTAATTTAAACTGAGGACTGCACAACGCTGAAATCAAGAAATAGGGATTTTGAATAAATGGTATCCACGGCAACAAATGACTATGGTCCCACAAATCGCTGTCAGGCATCTGTCAACTTTGAGATTGGACGATTCTTAGGCGATTAAGTGAAAATATTTAACAAAAGAGCTTACTTTAGACTCCAAACTTAATATACAATAAATCCAAATGGATCTCGTAGCATTTAATTCATAAAAAATTCACAAAAATTTATCGTCAAAGCTAACAGATGCCTGGTAGGGATTTTTGTGACCATGGTCATTGGTTGCCGTGGATACCACTTATTCAAAATCCCTATTTTTTTATTTCAGCGTTGTGCAGTCCTCAGTTTAAATTAAAATTACTTTAAAACGGTCCATTTTAGGGGTATTAAAGGTTATGCGTTTTTTATTCGAAATTGATTACTCTATCTCACCGCCTCCTTAATCAAATGTATCAATATCCCGCCTGGGCATTTCGTAAAAAATGCATTGGAGCAGTGATTCCGATTTTTTCTTAGTTACGGGGGTTACTAAGGAAAAACTGAATGATTTTTAATTATTAACGAAAAATAACGCAATTAATAAAAGCTGGGAAGGAAGGATACAACAAAACCAGATACTCCAGGGAGAATTGATATTATGAGGTTGAACCCTTTAAGCTAAAAAACTGGATATGTCAAAAAATTTCCCCAGATTAAAGCGCCAACGGGAATCAGTTGAACTCAAAAAATGCCCAGGCGAGAAAAGGATTATTTATATCGAGACGGCGATGCTCTATCTATTTGGGCAATAAAAAATTGGTGTTAAGAGAGCAAAAAAAATGGAAAAACACAGAAAATGTGACCTGCAACTGCTGGAACCGGAAATTGAGTGGATGTATCCGGTTCAAAGGGTATGTTGTCACAGGGAAATGTTCCAAGTTTTATAATATTTGGTCAAATAGTTTCAAAGTTACTACAAAAAAATCAAATTTCCATACCCACATTCCGAGGGCTGTAAAATTCTTATCAGTAGAGATAGGACACGAGTTATTTAAATTGACATCATTTTATGGGTCATTTTTGAGGTTCAAATATTGCTTCATATTTATGAATAACCCTGTATATGCAATCTTATCTCCTCGCATTATGGGAAATACTTCTTTTCGCAAAATGTCGTTTTCTTTGTAAGAAGACAGTAAAGATTGTCCTTGGCTTTGAGCGTTTGTTCTTCCAGTCTTTTCGTCAGTATTATGAGGACATATCTTCACATGTCTGTAGAGAAATTTCTTCTTATAAAATCCCTGCCAGTATTTACACGGCAGGTACGAAGACGGCGTTAGATCCGACACATTTTCATATTTATTTTTCCTTACAGGCACAATATTCGGTTCAAATGAACTTTTTAGAAAATTGCCTTTATTTCTTAATTTTGTAATTAAATTTTTTCTTCTTTTGTCTTTTGGTTGAATACATAAAATTTCTTGCACCTCACATTCGCTTTGATGATGTCTGAAAAGATGCCGAGAAAACTTCAGAACATCTTGTTCACAAAAAAAACAAAAGTCTTTCTTATCCCACTTTCTTTTATTTGTAGTTACTTTTGGATCTATTGTAGAGGAAGTTAATGATATCTCCAAGAATTTTTGAATCTATACAAAAACTGTTAATACACAGATTTATTGAACTACATATTGCTACCGGTATTTCCATGTCCAAATCTGAACTATCTTGATTTTGCGGATCTGCATTTTGTGTTAAAACCTAAAATAATGTAAAATTTATTTAAAGTATTGAAACTAGAGACTAAATATTGCAACCCCTTTTTCCAAGTCCATATTCAAATTCTCTTGACGCTTTTCACATTTTAAATCCTTACTGTCTAACCTAATCTTGTCTCCATTTGTAACCTTTTCATCACTTGTTTGTAAATCGTTGAATTCGGAAATAGTCTAAAATGATACATATAATTCATTCATTCCATTCTTAATTTTTTATACACTCACTTTTTTTTTACGTTGTGAACAACCATATTCTGAATCACTGCTATCTTCATCAGACGGAATAAATTCATCGCCGCTGTCTTCAAACGGCTCATAAAAATCATTTGCTTTTCGTTTTTCTCTTCTTGTGTACTTAGGAAGCAATTTTTCTTTTTCTGTTCTTGTGTAGTTAGAAAGCAATTTTTCTTTTTCTGTTTTTGTTTATTACGGTTAGTGACTGTAGAAACAAAAGTAAGGCACAAAATTCATGTCTTTGTTATATCGATTTTATTTTTATAAAGACTATAGACACCATAGTAACATTTACGCCGCCATTGAAGAATGACCCATAATAAAGATATGACTTTTGGTTCAGTCTGCATAATGAAACCATTGTAACTTTTAATTTGCTCTTCCCACAAGATTTAGCCAATAAAGAGTAAATCCATACTTTGGTATAAAAAAATTTGAAATTGTAAATAGAGGGAATATGTCGCTTGACAGGTGCATGGGTCAAAAATTATTGGTGTTTAAACCTATTTTGTTGGTATCTACAAGAATGAAATTGGCGGAGCAAATTAGAAGTGTAAATGGCCAAAAATAAGTTGAAAATTATTCGTGAATTGAGTTATCTAAACAAAGAAACCCACCTGAAAGAGCTGTTTGCATTTCACCTATGTTGAGACCTTTGGTGCTTTCATGCTGAGGAAGATTTAACAGATGTAATAATCTTTTTGTTCTGCTAGACAATCTAAAAATCAAAAAAGAAAAATTGCTATTATTGTTAATAAATTTAAAAAGAGTTTTTCGTGTATGTAAAGTAGGTCTTATGGTGTAAAAATGTAAAAGACTAAATATGTCCTAAGTAACTAATTACCAATTATTCTACTTACCGACTCATTTTTACGTCTGCTCTGTGTCATGTAGGTTTAGCAAGTGAGTTTGTAATGAAAATATCGTGGTTTATTAAGAGTCTTTTGTTGTTTGTTATGAGTCAATTTGGCAACGCTGCTGGATCTCACTTTGGTACATTCACATAAATATACACATCCACTAGGCCTCACAATGGTAGATCTGTGTAATGTATATCCGGACCTCACTTTGATAGCGCCGCGGTACGGTCCTCACTTTGTACCGATATACACCAAAAAAAAAAGTTTTACATGGTAGGTTTTTCCAGCGTATACTCGCCGGATTTGAATTGCTGGTAGCCAGAATAGGATTTAGAATAATATTCATTTAGCTATCTCTATTCCTTCTAGGGGTCCTCACTTTATACGGTCCACGGTGTGTCCTCACTTGGTTAGGA